TGCCATTAGATTTCCCTTTGACCTGTTTATTAGCACAATTCATAACCTGAAATTTCAGGGTCAAAGTGCAGTCTAGCATAGATGATATACCCTCTTTGGGGTTTCTGTTGAATCTTGCTAAAATTTGTGCCATCCTTAATAAAAAAGACACTCAGCATTTTTTGTGGGTATAAAGTGATTGGAATACAAAGATCTCATAGAGGGAATACCTGCTTAGAAATTCCCCTTTTCCCAAAAATACAGGGCATTACATGTCCCTTACATTCCAAAATATTAACAGCCAGCTCCTTACTTGAGACGGTAATAAAAATTAAAAGCAAAAACCTAGCACATATGATAGCACTGGCCTAGAAGGACCATAAAATAGGTAAGATTTTACATATAGAGAATCTTCTATGAAGTATTTTTTTCTTTTTTGAGAGAGGGTCTTGCTCTGTTTGTTGCCCAGGCTAGTCGCAGACTCCTGAGCTCAAGCTATCCTCCAGACTCAGCCTGCTTCCCAGCTGCTTGGGAAACTAAGGTGGGAGGGAAGCTTGATTTCCTTTTAGAAGACAATGCCCCCAAATGATGCCTCATCTTATTAATAAAGATTCTTAGCTTTGAAAATTCACCCAAAATGTATGTTAAGGCAATGTCTGGAAGGATATAGACAAACCTCCATTGTTTGTGGAAATTAAGCAGATGTATGTCACTAGCAGAAAATACCTGTCAGACACTGTGTCTGTACTGTGAAATGCACTATAAATATGGTTGTCCCCAAATGATGCCACTGCCAGTGCAAAAGCCAGGCCTGAGCAGCTGCCCTTGTCCCAGCACGTATATACATGGAAGTGAATATGTGAGAAGCAGAACAGTTTGGATTCATTGTCATTCTTTGGCTGCTTGGAAAACCTGTCTCTTTATGGAGCTTAATCCTCAGATATGACTATAGTCATAGATTAAGGAAAAAAAACTGTCAGAGATATTAAATAAATAATGTTTTCTTTCTAGTAGTTTTTTTAAACCTCTGTGTAAAAGAAAGCAATTAGGCACAGTTATAGTTAAACATATTGTTTAATAATTTAGCTTACTATAATTTGGGGCAGGTCACTAACCTAGACTTACAGTAAGTAACACATTAATTGAAGTAGCCTGGGTGGATACGCCATCCAAACACCTGCATAGCCACAGTTGATTTGAGCAAACATTTGTAGAGACTTTTTGCTCGGTTCCAGAACTTTGGCAAAATGCTTTATGTGCATATTATCTTATGTAATCTCCATGTGCCCCCGTGAAACATGCATTGCCTCGTTTTACACAGGAGAAAACACTCTGAGCGAGGGTAAGCTGCTCACAAATATGCAGCAAAAGGTGAGACCAGGACTGACCCCGGGCTCCCTTTGCCTTTAAAGCCACACTTGACCTTTTCTCTGTGACAACTGAAATGCTTTCTGGAAGCTGCTGAAATGCATCAGGGCAATACCAAACCCACCTGATATCAGATAGTTGCTTCCTTCAACATATAGAATCTAACCACGAGGTACAAAGCAATGACAATAACTACCTTGGAATGAGTGCTTGTTATAGTCCTTGACTGGTTATGTACTACCTCTTTTAATTTCCTTACCACTCCTTGAGATAAATGCTAGTGCCATTCCCATTTCATCGATGGGCTGACTAAGCCTCAAGGAGATTGAGTGACTTACAAAATGGTAGAGCTGGGATTTGAACCCATGCAACCTAGCTAAAGCCCTGGCTCCTAAGATTCACAGTGCTTCCCCAGAAGGAGAAAACTGTTCAAAAGGAGCCAAATCTGATGTCACACGTGTCTACTCAGTTGTTCAGGCCCTCATTTCATTGCTTTTTAATTTTATTTGGTGATAATTATCATGTTTGCCTATTACGTTCACCTGGCAGCAAAGAAGCAGACAGCCTGAGTGGTGGACAGGGAAAGAGAGCAGAGAAGGAATCTGTTACCACGTCCCCACTGACCCTGGGAGAAAGGACCTGTGACTCACAGATTGTGAGGCATCTGTCTAAGTGTGTGGCAGCATGACAGCTTTTGGTACAGAGGCAACGGGCCTTCGAATTAAATAGTCCCCAAAGACACTATGCTACTTCAAACATGGTATAATATTTATGTTCTTACTTATGACCTTGAGAAGTTCTAAAAAAAGGACAAATTGTCAGGATTTATGAAGTAAAGGCTGTGTAAAAATTCTGGGAAGTTTGTTATTCTTAAAAAGGTTTATATCCAAGCAGTAATTATACCTTTTAAAATTAAAATTTGGGCTCATAAATGTTTCAGCCTAAGTGCTCTGGAAAGAAATTGGATGGAATAGCTCTTTCTTTGCTAGCAGTACATAAATACAGCTCACTCCTTTGTTTTGCAAAACATCATCTGTTACAAAAGATGGTTATTTTCTGAATCTACCTACAGGTGTGAGGGTCTGTACAACTGTGATATTGCCTTCCTCAGGGCATCTGTACTTTCTTGCCTGATACTTCAGTTCCAGTGGGATCAGATTTCCCCAGGTCTAGAAAAGGTCTTCATTTCCACTTTTTCCTTAGTATTAAATGTATATGTGTTTATGGTAGATATTTTTGAAAGTATAGAAAACTATAGCAACAGCAGACGGAAAAGAAGTTATAAATGTATTCACTATTTGCATTTTGGAATATGTCACAGTGAAGAATGTAAACCCAACCAAACTGACAGTTTTGTTTTTTTTTAATTTTTATTGGCCAAGTTCTATACTGTTGTTAAACTAAACCAATGCAAACCACTCAAAATATAGTGCACTGATGAAGTGCATTTTCCTTTTTCAAAGAAACGCCCCCACCCTGTGGGAGTGAAAGTTTTCTCTGCATGTTAATTAATAATAATGCTGACATTAAAACATAAATAAAACTAAAGAGCAAGTGAAACTTTCATTTGATTGACATATTATGAGTAAAAATTCCAAATAGGATAGGGAAAAACCCACTTCTACTTGAGTCTGAAAAGTAAGAATAGTATTTTGACATTTTTCTGTGTTTATGTTACTCCCCCAAATCCAGATTGAGAAATCATCTAATTAGACATTCAGAGCCTTAGTATTTTAATGAGTAAGTTACTATCTGAAAAATGAACATATTCAGGTTTCGTTCAGCTATTTTGCAATTGGGCAGAAATAACTAGAGGAAATCAATATTTGGTTTATAATTCAGATCTCCTGGTTTAGCTTCATTGGGATGTATTTTTGCACTGAACTGATCTCCCAATAATAAACTGAGAAAGATGCTTGTCCCTGTGTCTCATGAAAGTATTTATTTAGAATATTCTCTGGCACTAAGGGTTCTGGATCCTGGGACCCCTTATGGAATATGAACTCTTCATTTTCCAGAAGTAGAAAGGTTAGGTGATTTCCCAATAAATATGGGGAGTCACAGCTTATTTAATGAAATAACTTATGATTTGATGGTGCTATCAAACCTCAACTAGATTCAGAGAAAATTATAAGGAGAGTATAAATAAATCAATGAAAATGTAAAAAGCAAATTACTTCAGCTTTAATAGATGTGTGAAAATCTTCTTATGTTAAAAATAATTGCCAGGTTTCTACTCATTGTTGGGACATTCTATTTCTAGCTCTGCCTTTATCCCGAAATGTGCGGGTAAATGTTTAACAGCTTTTTAAAAAAGAAAAATGTATGCAAGTGTATATTTTATGACACAATTTGAAGTTTAATCTGCATCATTACATTTTCTCCATCACTTCCCTAAATCCGCACATCAAAACAATAAATCAAGCCCTGATTGTGGTGTCTGTAGATGTCCGTGGTGTAAATAGCACCACTGTGATTGATTTCAACCGCAAACCCAGAGCCCCCTAAACATAGAACCAAAAGCTACACGTCCACATTTTTATATAGATTTATACCAAACAGAAGCCATAGATCCAAGTAACTTTATGATATAGATAAAAGTAAAATGAGTAAAAATGAGTTACAGTTTTGAGTCTGTAAGCTTCGTTTCCAATGTAATTTATTTAATTGTGAATTTGCATAACTGACTGTTGAAAAAGATAGCTGTTTGATAACAGCCTCAGGAACTTTCTGAACAATTTCAGCAGTTGTTTTTGTTCGCCTTTATGAAGCAGCTTTAAGCCCCATTGCCTGTGTCTTTGAGGGAAAGGGAATATGCAAAAAAATAAAATTACACAGGGCAGCGCCTGTGGCTCAAAGGAGTAGGGCGCTGGCCCCATATCCCGGAGGTGGTGGGTTCAAACCCAGCCCCGGCCACAAAAAGATAAATAAAAATAAATAAATAAAATTACACAATGCATCTTATTAACATGCATCTTATGTGAGGAATATGAGTGATTTTAAAAGTACTCCTGTGTAACTGTGCTTTTCAAACTGTAGTGTGTATGCGTAAATCTCACAGACCTCTTGTTACATGTAGATTCTGGTTTAGTAGGTCTGAGAATGTCTATTTCTAACATGTTCCCAGGCGTTGCTGGTTCTGCCATTCCAAGGGCCTAACTTTGAACAGCAAGGGCCCTGACCAATTTCCTTAGAGACTTACGTTATAAAAGAGTCAATCTCTGTCCCTCTCACCCACATTATAGCCATACTATGAAAGGGGCCCCTTCATCTACTCAAACAGAAGAGTAATAATGAAATGTCATCCTGAAAGAAAGCAGGGTGAAAAATGAGAGCTGGCAGAGCTGGGGATGGTCTAGTGGAGGGGGAGGAGGAACTGCCAGTGTGGACAAGTAGGGTACAAATATTCAGAGAAAATTAGCAAATCAAACTCAAAGGCAGGCCTGAAGTCAAAGCTTATCCATTTTCATATGAAAAGAAATATTTAAGAAATCCCAAATCAGCCCAAACATGATGAGATGTTAGGTCATAAGGGAAATAAGAAAACTCTGAATTTCAGCCAAGAATATATATACATATATATATATATTTTTTTTTTGAGTTAGTTTCACTTTATTGTCCTTGGTAGAGGGCTGTAGCATCATAGCTCACAGCAACCTCCGCCTCCTGGGCTTAGGTGATTCTCTTGCCTCAGCCTCCCGAGTAGCCTGGACTATAGGCACCCACTACAAATGCCCAGCTATTATTTTACAGTTTGGCGGGGCCTGGATTTGAACCCACCACATTCGGTATATGGGGCCGGCACCCTACTCACTGAGCCACAGGTGCCACCCATATCCAAAAATATTTGAAATTAATCCTGTAGGCATTTATAGGAACATAAGCCATTGATTTAAAAATTTATGCTCTAGGAAGTTCAAGCTGGTGCTATGCAAGTTGGAGGCAAAGTAAACTCGGTGCAAGGCACTCTTTGTCATACACAGGGGTGAAGTGGTGAGCGCCTCTGCCAGGGAGAAGGAAAAATCTGGGCCCTGGCAATGGAGGATGAAGGATCTGAGA